TGCATGACGAAGGCGCGGAAGAAATATTAGTTGGGCGGGCGCGAACGAGGCGCGCGCGTACTCTCACCGTTGTACAGTCAGTTTCATCCTGGATTAGGCGAGACATTCTACGTGGAGCAGCGCATGCGCATCGCTGGTGGCTTCGCGAGCGCATAGCGCTGGCATTTTGCCAAGCAAAGACTAAGGAGACGGAAGAGACGCAGACGTAGGTTCTCAGCACGATAGGATATACTGTAGCTGCGAAACGGCGCGAGCTGTTGCGAGGCGGACTCCCGCCAATTCAATTTCCGCCTAAAGCGGGTCGAAACTTACTGTACATCCTGCGTCTCATGCGCTCTGCGGCTAATAAAGCTGCGATCGCTCTTGAAGGAATTGCGCCTTCGTCATGCAGCAGCGTATGCTTTTCCTTACCGCTCAAAAGAATGCATAACAGGTTTGCCTCCCACATTTCTGTGCACGAGGGTTTAATTACAAGTTAATTTGTGGGTAAAATTATTTCATTGTTTTGTTATTTTGAGGGAATATGGTAGTTTAATTTTTTTCTGATCACTCCTGGGGCCGTAGTAATATCCACGAAGTAGCAGTAATAATCTAGCCGTAGCGATCTCCAAACATGTTGGCAACATGCAACTACATGCTGGCGACAAAAATGATTGCCAAAAAGTTTAGACAACATTTTTTTGTATGTACGCTGTCGCAAATTGCCAATATGTCAGCCATGCGTGATGCAGGTCAGTGACGCAGAGCAGAGGTAATTAGCAGTAATTGTGGAGTGAACGATACCCTTTTTTGTCTTTGAAAGCGAGTGGTGGGTGGGGCTATAGGCTTTCCATCCTCCTCGCGAGCGTACTCTCGAATCATTCCTCAGGCTTGATTAGTGGTCGAAGCTCGCCCTTCGTTCGCCATCTCAGTGAAACAGGGGTTTGCGTCGCATGCAATTGGGTATTCAAATGATCAACCTAATTGGTGAGAACAATAATCCGATAATGTTTTCCGTCATCTTCTGTGATAACTTTTGCTGCGATAAGATTAAGCGTTTCTTGAAAATATGTATGCATTGTTTTATCTTTGATAATTCCCTTCCCACGAAGATTTATGCCGACATTTTGGGTCGATCTGTAGAACAGGCAACTTTACTTACAGAATACAGAATAATGCAAATCGTCGATCGCTCCTCAGTACTGTAAGAGTACGGTTAAAGCTTCAAAAATTGTTTTAAACAAAAGTAAGCCTATATTCACATCAGGATAAAACCAAGACTAATTTTGACAGTAGGCCAATGAGCGTCGCTGACCTTGAATATGGAACTGGGTGGAGGACTATATGTCGCCGAATTTAGAAGAGTCCCGCGCGGATTTCCTGCAAGAACGCATGTCCGCGCATGTACAAGGGTGCGTATTTGTCGCAAATGACCGCGGGGACCGCCCTTTTTCGGCGACATATAGTCCTCCACCCTATGGAACTTGCACTTTACCATGCTCTGTTCAAACGTTATGCCAGGCATAACGTAAAGACGAATTCGAAACGCACAAGCGTACCCTGATCGGCGACGCGGCAGCAACCGCAGTTTTCTCCGCCGAGCGCGACAGCGAGCACGAACTTAGGTTTTTAACGCTTTTTGAAGTTTCAGATGTCGATCTTAGTACGCTTGTGTTTTCCGAATTCGTTTTCGACAAGGGTTTCCGAACTCGATCAGCATCAAGTACTATTGTCACAGAGTGGAATCACACTTTGTAATGTTGATGTCTGGAATTTTCGGGTACAGCCATGCGCACATAGTAGATGGTTTTGGATTTCGTCCGCGAATCTCCAAGAGGCTTTCTCCACAGTCTGATTTCACCGAAATATCACGCAGTGGAGAAGCATCGTTACATCTGAGGGTCAAATTCCCACTGACGGATTTGGTCACGACAAAATGTCACTTTTACTAATTTAGAAACGCCGCACAGACTGAAAAAAGGCACTGAATTGCGAAATGCTTGCTCATCCGCCGGTCAGCAAATTATGTTTGGGGTTCTAATAAAGAATGAGAATTAGTCAAAGTTGCACATGGTGAAAAGTTGAGCCTTGATGACTTCGGGGAGCAACCAAATCGAGAACATAATTGCTGAAAAGTGAAAGGCGAATTATTTATGGTGATTTGTTTTATTGCAAATCCACCCCCACCGCGTCTCGCAATGTCCTCTGGCATCAAACAGTTTGTAATCGTCACAGTGAGCAGCCTATGTAAGCAAAAAGTGGAAAAGAATCTGAAAACTATCTTCCGTTACCTGCTGTACCCTAAGCTAAAGCAGTTATGTATATACAAAGGCGTGCCATGTCGAAGTAGCTGAATAGTAACCTTCAGAACTAGTCCACTCTGAACAGAGACCTGATGCGAAAATTTCGGTGAACTTCGGCGGAGGCCGTTTAAGCACAGCCGCCGCGATTCTTTTTTCACGAATAATGAGCGGCAATTTAGGAACTTTACACCTCATAGCTGATCTGACTTTGTCATAAAGATCCTCATATGGTTTCAAGCCTCAAAGTCATATTGCACATAGTAGTAGTGTAGGACCACAACTAGTTTCTAACGAATTCCAGCTTTTAGTGAAAACTACATTCGAAAACCAATTTGAACTTTTCTGCTTTCTACCCTTACAAGCAGGTGAGACCAAAATTGGCAACAAGTTTGCAAAGAAGCCGTAACTTTTCGCTTCTTACAGGGAGAGGATACTTAGTCGAAAGCACCAATCCAAATGGGGCATAAATCATCTTAAAGTGCTTGAAACGCTGGTTCCAAATCTATATTTTCTAGCAGCGGAGCGGTTTTGTATAAAGAGTTATGAGGGGTGTTTTCCTCTAGGGTTCAGGCGCCCACCAGCAAGTCTCCCCCTATCTATGAGCACTGTAGAGGAGTACCAACTGCGGCAATTAACCTAGTGGCAAGTGACTTGTTTGATAAGGAGAGTGTCAAGGTTTTAATTCCCTCCGCATGCAACTTTATCGCAATTTTGGCAAAGTTAAGCTTTTTAATGGTTTTAGACTCCTAAAGCCTGAAATTTGATGATATTGATGCTAATCGAAGTTATAAATGTTAAAAAACCAAAATACCGAGTATTATAATCCTTACTGTGATCTTTATTCAAAGTACTTATCACTAGGCTAGTTGCCACCAGTTGGTATTCCTCTACAGTGCTCATAGATAGGGGGAGACTTGCTGGGGGTCACCTCAACCCTAGAGAGAAACACTTCTCATAACTCCTTATACAAAAGCTAGAAATTACAGATCTGGAATCAGCGTTTCAAGCGCTTCAAGAAGATATATGTCTCATCTAAATTGGTGCTTTCGACTAAGTATCCTCTCCTTGTTAGTAATGTTAACAACTGAGTTTATAAATTAAGGCTGGAAAGAATACTTCATCGGTAAACAATCAGCACGTATAACTCCGCTAAGCGGTCTTACTTTGCTTTCCACCATTGTCATACATTTACTTGACTTTACTGATATTCCACTTTATTGTGGAACATCACCGGTACGCTAAACGCAAATAGTGCATGCAAGGAAGTCACAAAAAACCAAGGGTTCCAGTTCTGCCCTTCCTACATGCTCCAATAATCGTACGCTTGAAATTCGGGACGAATTCGAAACACACAAGATCGGCGTCTGAAACTCCAAAAAGCGAGAAAACCAACAATAAGTTCGTGCTTACTGTCGCGCTCGGCGGAGAAAACTGCGCGTCGCTGCCGCGTCGCCGATCAGGGTACGCTTGTGCGTTTCGAATTCGTCTAACGTAAAAGCGGTTTTTTCAAAATTCTTCAAAAATATTAATTACACCTTTGAAAAGGACTGGAAAACCCGCAGCAGGTTAAAGTTGTGGACAGTATTCTTCTTCAGTGTTTCGATTGACTTCTTCATTGATCTTCTTTCAATTCTTGAGCTGAGGCGCTGGAAATCAATAATGGAAAGCAACTGAGCATGCTAATTACAACAACGCAGTGGTGAGGCAAAGAACTGAAATAATGAAGTGAGACAAGGACAAGAATCAGGTCTCGGCTCACCTAGAAGCTTACAAGCTAATTATCGTTACTGCGAAAAAAAAGTAGAGGGGATATCGTTTTTGCGAAACCCGCAGAGATTAGTCGGCACGCCGCCGGCATGCTTGCGCCATGCAACGGGCGTGCTCTACCTCGAACAAACAAAAGCGATGATTACAACCAAAACGCAATGACATGACACTAAATATGGTGTGCGCATGCCCGTGAGTGAGCTCGAACCATAACTCAAATATTTCTGGAAACTTAAGTGAATGAAAGCCGTACTGAACTCAACCGTTCCAGTTGAGTTCCGGCTAAGCTGGAAGACCTTTTGCTCAAATACTTTTTCATGCTTTTTTGCGCACATTATAACTTTGACGTGAAGTTTTTATACGAGAAAATAAACGTTTCATACTCATTTCCTCCAAGCTTTCATATAGTCCTCGAAAAACTTTCACTGTTGGCGCAATGTGCTCCTGTCACAAAACGCGCCTATGAGCAATCAAGTTTTGCTTTGATTAGACTTCCTTTTTTATCCGTTTTTGTCTTTTATGTTCTTCGTACATATCTGTTAACTCCTTAGGCGAAGGGAAGAGGGAGGTAAATGGAGCCGACAGAGGAGGGAAAAAAATTGTGGTGTGAATAAGAGAGTAGAGGGGAGGAAACATTTGTCGGCCGCAAGTTCAGGCTCGGACGAGAAGCAAAACGCGTTCGAAGCATGACAAATATAGTAAAAAAAAGTTTCCACCCTTATACCTTCTCAAAGAACAAGCAAAAAAGACAAGTAAAAAGTAGTGGGGAGGCGGCGTAAAAACCAAAGGGAACTTCGTAAGAAGTTTTCAAAATAACGAGCTTTCAAAATCTTCCTGGTGCTGGTGCGAAGCCTTGCATCGTTATCTGAAGATGGGATGGAAAAGTGAGTTACATCATGTTGTGTAGTCAGGACTGAGGCCGCCAGGTCCAACTAGTATCATAGAACTATAGCATACAATAAATATTTATCACAAATGAGCTTCCTCAAAATGTAATCATGATAAACCGTGCAAACCAGAACTCAATCAAGAACACATAGGATGACGCACCATAACACTATTGCTAGTCTCGCGATAGAATATTTTTTATTAACCTGCTCTATGCAGTAAAGCAAAAACCAACATCTTCTTTAACGCAGAACGTTTACAGTATGCAAGTGTAGCAGCTTAAGTTTTAGTAGTCGGTTTCACCACTGTACTGCTTGGCGTTGTATTTTGATGAACGATGGGATTTTTAAGTGAACTCAGATTGTCTCCTTTGGTGCGCTCCTTGCCAAAATTCGTGACCGCTTTACTGGGCTCCGTACTCAATTCTTTCGCAGGGGAACGAAAGGGAGATGTGGAAGCCATTGTTGAATTGACAGTGGTGGAAACCAAGGCCTCCACATTAGCAGTCATCAAAACCTGAGAAAAAACATGTCAGAAGTTCTTCAAGAATAACAAACCATTTATTCAAGTGGTTACGGTACCTGACTGTTTGCGTTGCTGTTGTCGCCAGTCGTTGTGATATGAACCGGCTTCGTCGGATGTGCAGCATCAAAGAAGTAGACCTTAATTGCTTACTGAATTTTCCTCGGTCGACTTTGCTGAACGCGCGTACTAGTGCTTCGCTTCAGAAAACTTTCATTTCCGACTGCATCGAGACGACTGCAGCTATTAGAATGAACATTTTTTCAGACATAATCGCAAGCTGCGTGAAACCACAGTTTTCACTCGAGCTTTCGCAGCTGTTCACAAAAAAGACCACTAAGCAACAGGCTAAGGAATTTGTTTAAGGTTGACTTTGAATGACTAGTGTAATTTTCGAAAGACTAATGTAAGCACTGGTAGAGAGAGGCCCCATCTCAAATTCTTTTATATGAAAAGCTTCGCTGAAAATGCACAATAGATTGCAGCAACTATTGAGTTCTCTTCAAACTTCTATGCTATCTTATTCAGATGCAAACTCTAAAGGGAAAGGCTCACCTTGAATGTGAGCGCCAAGAGAAAATGAAGGAGTACAACGCCAAATATCGAAGAATACGCTACCTAAAAACGTAGTACATTATAGTTACATCTTCTTAGATTAAATGAAGAAAAAAGGTACCAGCTTGTTAGGATCAGATTTGAAAGCAGGCCATAGCGCTTTAGCAAGTACCGCTCCACTCATAAACACAGCCGTGAATATAAGGGCCCATCTAAACCAGTTCACGTCCAAAGTCCATAATATCTGCAAATCTGTCTTTTTTTGATTACAAAGACGACATTATAAAAGACTTCGTGAGCTTCTTATCGGATCTCACCGAAACAGGAACAAATATAGACAGACTGTATCCATAAGCACATAGAAGATCAGATAACGCGTACTGCAGCTCTGTTTTTCTCTGCCAAAGAATGGCTGAGATGATTATGGGCACGAGGACAACATAGAGGAATACTAACGTAGCTGATGATGTGACTGGAAAATAAATATGTAAAAATGTAGCTCTAGGCAGGACTTTTACCTAGTCTAAAGTCGCTTCCATAATTTCCTGAGGCGCCTTCGTTCTCGATGTACTGAGCGATATTCCCAAACACACCGACTGAGAACACAAGCGTCACAGATATCCAGAAGGGACCTGCGACAATCTAGTCAAAAATTGTGTTCTAGCATACACATTTGACAAATGAAAAGATAAATTCAGTCGCCTTTTTATTAAAAGGACTTTTATTGCGGACCAGAATCAAAATTCACACTCAGTGCTAGTCGAAACTACAGATCCGCTCCGAAAAAATACCTCATTTTAAATAGCTGATTAGCGCTGAAAAGATATCCATTGATTTAGCTGGCTATGATCTGGTCTAGAAATTAATGCACCTGTGCATCACGATTTTACGGGGAATTAAGAACCGCGAAATTTTTAGAAATCTAATGTGATTATGAACTCCAAACAGAAGACCAGAAAACTGAAAGCGATCCCATACAACCACCAACCACTTACGGGGACCCACGGGATCTATGGATTGACCAGTACTTTATGCTGTAGAGAACTTGGGCCATTTAGTAATAAGTGCACACTTTCCGCACTGAGCTTTACGTAATTGCAAAAAGGTTAAAAAAACAAATACGATGATAAACACTCACCCCATAAATCTGGCATTGGATGCACATAATCTAGGATGAAATTCTTGTTAGTTGGAATCACGCTGTTGAGAATCCTTTTCAGAACCTGAATAACCTTCTTTCCTCCAAGTAACTCCACTCCATATCGACATTACTCAAGGTCTGTTAGTGACGGTCACAATTCTGACAGATTTCTTACGGTGATTCTAACATACACAGGAAACTAAGATTACAGTCCCATAACAATGCCATTCCTTGTTTAGAAGTGTCAAGCCTCTACCAAGATTGTTACAACTTTTATTTTGGCTGACGTTTCGGCCAACTCGCCTTCGTCGGAGCCTGTGAGGAACAAATGCGATTTATCCTCCCAAATGTCTCATCAAATGCAAGGAACAGCTAAAAGTTGGCTGGGAAGATGAATGCACTGCAATAACTGACGAACTCGCGCCTTTCCTGGAGTTATGCGGGTTTGACCAACAACCGCAGCAACCCTGGAGCCTAGCTCACTAATTATACATACGTTCGTCAGTGGTGGTCCGTGACCCGCACTCGGCAAAGTCTCAGGTGGGGCTGATGATCTTAGGCAGCATCGTTTCCGTTTCCAGCCAACTTTTTATCTGTTCCATGCATTTGATGAGACATTTGGGAGGATAAATCTCATTTGTTTCTCACTTACAGGTTCCGACGAAGGCGAGTTGGCCGAAACGTCAGCCAAAATAAAAGCTGTAACAATCTTGGTGGAGGCTTAGCAATTCGAAACAAGGGTATCGTAATGCCAAGATTTACTGAAAGTCGAATGTGAAGCCATTCCTATTCGGACCTTTGAATGCTCGTCTTTCTAGGTCACGCATCCCAATAATTTGCATCAATACTGTCAAGCAAGAGTTGACTTTTTTCGCAAATTCAAAAACACAAATGAGACCCTGACAGTGCGAAGTACTGGAAAATAAACTGATTTCACACAAAGTGCCCCACTCAAAGGCAATCCACTTTTTACTCTATTATTATTTTCTTCCCTACAAAGATGATGGTATTGCATACTTCTACCAATAGCTATGACAGTTTGGCAACCTGATCTGTTTCCACATCGAAAAACTGCTGATAAAAACCCAGCGACAAGAAATTTGATTTCCGTCCAGATGTCGATACATTGTCATTTACAAGCTGCAAAGTTCATTTTTCATACAGCGACAAAGAATTAAGTGTAATCTAATTTGACTGAGTGGATTGACCTGATTTTGATCTCCAATCCTGCCAGAAAAACCTTCAGCATTGGTAGAGTTTATGGAAAATCCATCTTGAAACGCTGTAAGCGCAGAAATCAGCGAAGAATAACCTAGAGAATGTGGAAACTTACGCTGGAAATCTAAATTGGCCATGTGCTCTGTGGAATGGATACTATAAGCTAGAAGATGTAAAGGATTTCAGAGCGAAGTATGCCGTATTAGCTCTGCAGATGTTCATACATTGTAAAAATAGTATATGGTGATTTGACAACTAACTCATAGTAATCTATGTTATCGAAATTTATTTATATACCAAAAATTAGCACAAAAATAACCGCACATGCATCTTTCAAAAGCTCACACAAATTGAATGTATCAGCAAAACGAACAATGAAACAATCAAAATAAGAAAACATGTAAAACGCGCGGGTACTCCGAGTTTATCTGAAAGAAGCAAAAATCAACTCAGAAGAGAATAACAACCTGAAAAACTTCCTTACTTCCTGACAAACTTCCTCACCTGCGTCGGTCACGAGATCTGCTTCTAAAAGAGGTTATCGTATCAACATGTAAGCGCTTACGTAATAAAACCAACCGCCTTCGATCTCTCGCTTTGTCTCGAGAACGACTTCGACTTCGTTTGCGATCCCTCGATCTGAAAAAAGTCAAGAAGTCTGAATATCTATTTTGTCGATCTTACCTGCTCCTCCTTCTGTCTTTGTTACGATCCCTTTCCCTTGATCGACTCTTCTTGCGATCTGTGTCTCTATGCCTATCCTTGTCCCTACCACGTTCTCTCGACTTTTCCTCACTTCTTTCTCTGGACCAGCTTCGTTTTCTACGTTCCCGATCACTACGCTCTCTAGAAAGAAAAGCTCTCTCTCTCCAAAAACATTTATGTTATTCGAAGGACTCTATCCCCCATTTTTGTTTCCTCATAAGTAAAATTAGAAGCACTCGTCATAATGACAAGCAACACGGAGAGCAGTTTGAGCTCCAAATTTAGCAAAGAATGGTTTCGTTTGTTGCGCAACACCTATGTAAAAGAGGCAGTTTAATCTTGGCGCAGAATTATTCATGAAAACATGAGGTACAGTCAAAATGCTTCCCTGGGAATGCTACATAAAGGTCTGTAATTAGAGCTTATGGCAAAATCTTTTTTTCCTGGACTCTCGAAAGGAATGTAAAATAACAAAGAAAAGTTTGCATTTCAAAAAAATGAAGTTCGTGGTTTACGCGTGCTCAAAGACCTTTGGCGTAGTATTCATCAAATATTACCACACTGAGCATGAAAAAAGCATAAATAAAAGAAAGGTGAATGTCACTGCAACTTACAAATCTCGTTGACGCGAAGATTTATGCACTTTGAGGCGAGAACTATCCGTAGACTTATCATGATCATTCTTCTCGTTCTCGCTGTCCACGCAGGAACATTCACCACCAGAGCAGGAGCAGGAACAACTGAATAGTATTTCGGAGCATAAACGACGAAGAAGCAGTACGATCAATTGTTACTTGAAACACGTTTCAAATGCTTTTCATGATAATGCTATAAGGATCGCATATACATTTTTAGCGTTCTACGATAGGCCATACAACGGTGAGTTACTCCTAACCGTGTAAATTGACAATCTAGAACGAATTCTTGCGTCGAAGGATCTTGGCGCAGAAATATATTTGAGTTTGTGAATCAGAAAACTTTATCAATATACAGGGTGTCCGTAAAGTATGATACACTGTTTGATCGTTGATATCTCTTTTACCAAGAAGTCTTTTGCCTTCCTCTAAGCAACATTGTGTAGAGCTGGCTTCAACTTAGATTTAAAGTATGGAGCGAATCATCGGTCGCTCTTCATTACTGTAGGATCGCGGTAGAAAACTCAAGACGGGTTGTGAGCCATCAAGGACCCTATTTCGCCTCAGGCAGCAAGCCGAACAAACAGAAAACTCTCACGCTAGGCCAACTGAAGCCGCTAAAACCAAATATGATGTTTGCACTTTACAGCAATGCTTCCTTTATAAGTTATGCCAGGTAGACCGCAATAGCTGCTTTAACAAGACTCCATAAAATCGTGATTACATTTTGAAAGCTTTGCAAACTCGTAAAAAGTTGAGTAATAAAATCAGCGAGCTTGGAAACCCTACTACATCTTTTCAGATTTTTCGGAAACTTTTTTTAAAACACGGTAAATCCGTAATGACGCTATAAGCTGAAAGTTTCTACCGTAATCTTACAGCTTACAGTAGTGAAGAACCATCCGTGATTAACTCCATACTTAAATCTAAGTTGAAGCCAGCTCGGTATAGGCCGTCCGCGCTGCGCACGGAGAGCAACGCTGTTGCATACATTGAAGGCAGTTCACGACTGGAAGAAGCGCAGAGAAAAACAGACGGCGAGAGTGCACGAGGAACGGGGAGGAACGCGCAATACACACCTTGCGCACTCTCCGCGACGTGCGCGGACGGCCCATACTAAACATACGTTGACCCAAAAAATGAAAATCGTGAATTTCGCTAAAACTTCGTCTAGGGGGATTATTTGGCATGCTGAACACGAATCTTGTGTTTATTTCGTGCGACAGCGCCATCCGGTGGAGTTACGGTAGGAGTACGGTAAGGGGTCAAAATCACGGATTTGCCCGAAACTTGGCCCAGAGGGGTTATTCAGCCCGCTGATGCTGAATATCACATTAGTTTTGTACCGCAGCGTCATTTTCTCGGGTTACGGTGGGTATACGGTAGGGGGTCAAAATCTCAAAATCTGCTGTAACTTCGCACAGAGGGGTTATTCGACGTGCTGATTAGAAATGTCACACTTTCTCCGCACGAAAATGTCTTCCTGCATGGCTACGGTAGGTTTACGGCAGGGGCCAAAATCACAAGTCGCAAATTTATCTTCCCCTTGTGCTTAGGCAAAAGCCGCAGCAGGTTGTGTAGCGGGGTGGGGGAACGAAAGCCGCCAGGTCCAGCCGCCTCCGCGGACTGCTGGTCCTGGAACGACATGCAACAACGCTGCGAAAGGACCAGCTGGCCGCGAAAGGCTGCTGGACCTGGCGGCTTTCGTTCCCCCACCCTGTGTAGCGCGCTGCGGTGGTCCTGTGTGCAAAGCTTTACGATCGTCCGAATCGCCGTACACCCGTTTCAGGCAGGACTATATACTCGTTACCGTATACCCACCGTAACCCGAGAAAATGACGCTACGGTACAAAACCAATGTGATATTCAGCATCAGCGGGCTGAATAACCCCTTTGGGCCAAGTTTCGGGCAAATCCGTGATTTTGACTCCCTACCTAATCCTACCGTAACTCCACCGGATGGCGCTGTTGCAGGAAATAAACATCATATTCGTGTTCAGCGTACCAAATAACCTCCCTAGACGAAGTTTTAGCGAAATTCACGGTCTTTATCTTTTGGGTCAACTAATGTGGAATAGCGCCGCCAGCTCTATGAAATGATGCTTAGAGGAAGGCAAAAGACTTCTTGGGGAAGAGATATTATCAACGATCAAACAGTGTATACATAATTTATGGACACCCTGTATAACATCCTTCTATATATATAAAACCGAATGGGATTTTGTCTGTACACTGGTGGCTTGTCTGTACGCTGGTGGATAAGCATGCTTGTTGATGCTGTCTGTAGGTCCTCGATGGTGTTTTCGTGTTTGTCATTTTCCAGCATGGAAGCTTGTCATTACTTCTACCAAATTTATCGATTATTTGTAAATTTTCAACTACGGGGCTGGGAGTTGGCACTCGGGGGTAATCGAGCATGCTGATTACGAATATGATAACCATTTTCAAAAATGCCCATTACTTTTATCATTTTATCGATTTTTTGGCAAAGTTCAAGCTACGGGGCTGGGAGTTGGCACACGGGGGTAATCGAGCATGCTGATTACGAATATGATAACTATTTTCAAAAATGCCCATTACTTTTATCACTTTATCGATTTCCTGGCAAAGTTCAAGCTACGGGGCTGGGAGTTGGCACACGGGGGTAATCGAGCATGCTGATTACGAATATGATAACTATTTTCAAAAATGCCCATTACTTTTATCATTTTATCGATTTGTTTGCAAATTTTGGACTACGGGGTTGGGAGTTGGCAGGAGAGGGTAAGCGAACATGCTGATTACGAATACAATACTGGTTTTTAGAATTATCAGTTATTTTTATCATTTTATCGATTTTTTGGCAAAGTTCAAGCTACAGGGCTGGGAGTTGGCAGACGGGGGTAATCGAGCATGCTGATTACGAATACAGTATTAGTTTTTAGAATTATCAGTTATTTTTATCATTTTATCGATTTTTTGGCAAAGTTCAAGCTACGGGGCTGCAAGTTGGCACACGGGGGTAATCGAGCTTGCTGATTACGAATTTGATAACCATTATCAAAAATGCCCATTACTTTTATCACTTTATCGATTTCCTGGCAAAGTTCAAGCTACGGGGCTGGGAGTTGGCACACGGGGGTAATCGAGCATGCTGATTACGAATATGATAACTATTTTCAAAAATGCCCATTACTTTTATCATTTTATCGATTTGTTTGCAAATTTTGGACTACGGGGTTGGGAGTTGGCAGGAGAGGGTAAGCGAACATGCTGATTACGAATACAATACTGGTTTTTAGAATTATCAGTTATTTTTATCATTTTATCGATTTTTTGGCAAAGTTCAAGCTACAGGGCTGGGAGTTGGCAGACGGGGGTAATCGAGCATGCCGATTACGAATACAGTATTAGTTTTTAGAATTATCAGTTATTTTTATCGTTTTATCGATTTTTTGGCAAAGTTCAAGCTACGGGGCTGCAAGTTGGCACACGGGGGTAATCGAGCTTGCTGATTACGAATTTGATAACCATTATCAAAAATGCCCATTACTTTTATCATTTTATCGATTTTTTGGCAAAGTTCGAGCTACGGGGCTGGAAGTTGGCACACGGGGGTAATCGAGCATGCTGATTACGAATATGATAACCATTTTCAAAAATGTCCATTACTTTTATCATTTTATCGATTTTTTGGCAAAGTTCAAGCTACGGGGCTGGAAGTTGGCACACGGGGGTAATCGAGCATGCTGATTACGAATACAGTATTAGTTTTTGAAATTATCAGTTATTTTTATCATTTTATCGATTTTTTGGCAAAGTTCAAGCTACGGGGCTGCAAGTTGGCACACGGGGGTAATCGAGCTTGCTGATTACGAATTTGATAACCATTATCAAAAATGCCCATTACTTTTATCATTTTATCGATTTTTTGGCAAAGTTCGAGCTACGGGGCTGCAAGTTGGCACACGGGGGTAATCGAGCTTGCTGATTACGAATACGATAACTATTTTCAAAAATGCCCATTATTTTTATCATTTTATCGATTTTTTTGCAAAGTTCAAGCTACGGGGCTGGAAGTTGGCACACGGGGGTAATCGAGCATGCTGATTACGAATATGATAACCATTTTCAAAAATGTCCATTACTTTTATCATTTTATCGATTTTTTGGCAAAGTTCAAGCTACGGGGCTGGAAGTTGGCACACGGGGGTAATCGAGCATGCTGATTACGAATACAGTATTAGTTTTTGAAATTATCAGTTATTTTTATCATTTTATCGATTTTTTGGCAAAGTTTAAGCTACGGGGCTGGGAGTTGGCAGACGGGGGTAATCGAGCATGCTGATTACGAATACAATATTAGTTTTTAGAATTATCAGTTATTTTTATCATTTTATCGATTTTTTGGCAAAGTTCAAGCTACGGGGCTGGGAGTTGGCACAGGAGGACAACCGAACATGCTGATTACGAAATATAGCTTTTAGAATTATCAGTTATTTTTATCATTTCGATTTTTTTGCATGGTTCAAGCTACGGGGCTGGGGTTTGGCACACGGGGGTAATCGAGCATGCTGATTACGAATATGATAACTATTTTCAAAAATGCCCATTACTTTTATCACTTTATCGATTTTCTGGCAAAGTTCAAGCTACGGGGCTGGGAGTTGGCACACGGGGGTAATCGAGCATGCTGATTACGAATTTGATAACCATTTTCAAAAATGTCCATTACTTTTATCATTTTATCGATTTTTTGGCAAAGTTCAAGCTACGGGGCTGGAAGTTGGCACACGGGGGTAATCGAGCATGCTGATTACGAATACAGTATTAGTTTTTGGAATTATCAGTTATTTTTATCATTTTATCGATTTTTTGGCAAAGTTTAAGCTACGGGGCTGGGAGTTGGCAGACGGGGGTAATCGAGCATGCTGATTACGAATACAATATTAGTTTTTAGAATTATCAGTTATTTTTATCATTTTATCGATTTTTTGGCAAAGTTCAAGCTACGGGGCTGGGAGTTGGCACAGGAGGACAACCGAACATGCTGATTACGAAATATAGCTTTTAGAATTATCAGTTATTTTTATCATTTCGATTTTTTTGCATGGTTCAAGCTACGG